AGAGTAGCTTAGACGGAAGACGATCGCCCACTGTTCCCTTCCCCCACCCTCTCCCCCACAACAAACTGGAAACTTTTTTTCAAGGTTCAGATTACAATTATATTTAATACTGTTTTATAAGGTCTACATGTCCATAATGAGTTAACTTTTAGTGTGGTAACACCATTTTAGTCGATGACATCATCGCCAGTTTCACATTCCAATGGCCAGATTGACAGGAGTCAAACTGACTGCTAGTGGGAGTTCTAGCTGAGTTAGAATTCCTAGTGTTAAGCAATGCATTTGTGTGCAACAACTCAGTATAATGGGCTCGACACACGGGAGGTGACATTGCCTCTCCTCCATTCATTTTCAATGAGACATGCGCTAATCGCGGGTCTCTCTCCTACCAAGCGAAACACGAAAAACATGCGTGTGAAAGTTTGCACTCGTGCACGTGTCGTGCACGGACGACCCAGCGACGCGATCCCAGAAAGTTGAAACATTTTCAACTTTTCATCGCTGTCGCTCGGGCGAGGACCAATCAACGGAGGTTTCATTCACTGACCAATGAGCGGACAGGATGCTCCGCACATCTCCAAGCAAACATGGAGGAGAAGTTGATTATTATTATGGTTTATATAGTAAAATCAGAAGTAAGATTTCACATAACTCTAGCAGCACCTTGTGAAACATCATATCTACCACTTTATTAACTCTGAACCGCTTAAATAACTTTAATTCCCTCCAACCTGACACAGCCAAACAAAACAACGGAAGTTTCGATTTCACCATGGAACAGAACGCATAGACGGCTTTGCCGCTGGCCGCTACCGCAGATCGCCTCCCGTGTGACAGGTAATAAAAGCGACAGCGACAAATTTCGCTGATCGCGGTCGTTTGTCGCCTCCCGTGTGTCGAGCCCATAAGGCACTGTGTGCCACAAGATTTCTGGTTTCTAAAATTAAAAGCATAGCTCCAGGACCAACAAGAGAGCCTTCAAAGCAAGGATAGCACACTTTCTGTCAAGAAGCAGCAACATGCAACAACATACAGATGTTTGGCAGCAAAGCACAACATCAAAACAAATGTCCAAGCATTTGAGCATATTTAACCAAAGCCCTAACAAGTCTGAGTTGCCTGAAGCACTGTTTCATTTACATAAGTGTTGTGTAACAGTCAGTGTCTACAATGTAGACATTTTAAATAAAAATGCTCTAAAATTGTTATTAGAGTGGTAGGAAATCGCTAAGTGAGCAATTGTTCTAAGCACCACCCTTCAAAGCATTATTGTTAATGTTTGTCCCTGCACTGCAAACATTTTACCTAAAAAATGTTATTGAATCATTATTAGGAGTGGCATAAATTAAAGAACATTCTCACATAGCTGCGAATAAAATGCTTAATAGGATTTCTGCAAGAAGTATGGTGACAAAGAGCAAAGATAGAGCTGATTTTATAGCTAAAACAAATGCTCTTTATCAATTATTGTGCTTATTTTAATGTTTACTACATTAATCATTACTGGTTTGGTGTCTGAGATGTCATGTGGAATCTCTGTTAAGATGCATCACCATCCATTGGAAAGCAGACCCTGTGATTCTTCTGTTTTGTGGCCCAAGTGTCATAAATCCAGAGAGTCATTTGCATAATTTTGGAACTGAGTTAGTTTCCTAAACTCGTGCACAAAGTATTAACTCAAACTAGATAATCTTTAAATCTCATAATCACTCCTTAAACTGTGGATCAAAAAGGGACTGGAACTTTGCTTTTCACACAGCCTTTGGTTTTCTGGAGAGTTTGTCATTTTAAAGGGGAAAAAGTGACTCTACCCTCTTTTACTTGCTAAGAAATGGTCATTCAACAGCATTTTTAGAGACATTGGAGAATGAATAAATAACCTAAATCCAATAATAAACACCTGGTATTTTAATATAGGAAACACCTGCAGAGGACAACCTGATGATGTACGGAGCTGATGAGCATCACAGTCTGAGAGAAGTAGCTGTTTTAATTATTATTATTAATAATAATAATAATAATAATAATAATAATAATAATACATCAAACTTATATAAAGCTTTTTAGGACACTCAAAGACGATTGCATGCACTCTCACATTCACACACTGCTAGTGATGGTAAGCTACTATGTAGCCACAGCCACCCTAGGGCGGTCTGACATAGGCGAGGCTGCCATTTGGCGCCATCGACCCCTCTGACCACCACCAACACAGGCAAGTTTGGTGAAGCAGCAGGATACCCCTGGCCGGAGCTGGAATCAATCCCATGACCCTTCGATCATGAGGCAACCTGCTGTCCCACTCTGAGTTGCTCATTTAAAATATATTTGCTCATTTTAAATATATTTTAAACCATTTTCTAAATTCGTTTCTATATTTCAACATTTTTTGTTTTTTTGAAGCGCCTCGTGATTTTTATCTTGAGAGGTGCTATAGAAATTATATTTTCTTCTTCTTCTTCTTCTTCTTCTTCTTCTTCTTTTTCTTCTTCTTCTTCTTTTTCTTCTTCTTCTTCTTCTTCTTCTTCTTCTTCCCTCCTGAGCTACTGCTGCCCTAATTTGCCAGGTTTTAAAGGTTTGTGACACTCATTTAATCAAAACATTTTAGGGCTGCACAATATATCGAAAAATTATCGTCATCGCGATAACAGGACGTGCGATAGGCCCATCGCAAAGCACGTCAAAAACGGCGATAAATGTTTAGTTCAAGCATTTCCATCCGTGTCATACATCAGCTTTTTGTAAACCAGCTCTGTTTTTTTACGCAGAAGTATTATTTGACCAATCAAATGTAGTCCTTCTGATATGCGGCCAATCAGATGGGTCCGTTCACGTAACATGCCCGCCCCCTACGTAGACCCTTACCCCAAAATTCCACTATCTCCGCTCCGCCCCCGCTTTCCGCTGCCGCTCACTTCCCTTGTTCGTCATGCTGGCTCAGATTAACGAACGCACTTTGTGCTGAGGTTTCTGGAATCAGCTCTGCTTTCAAACGTGAACATGAGTCTGCTCGGTGTCGTTAAGCAGCTGATAATAACCGGGCTGACGCCGACACATGCCGGTGAACCAACCCACCTACTTCCATGTCGCTAGTGTTCCACCGGGTGGTGATGTTAGCCCGAGGCTCCGGTTAGCTTCCAGCTGAAATGCCACAGCACTCTCCTCCCAGTCCCACCCTGCTGAAGAGGGCCTGGAAAAGTTCCCCCACACATCAAAGTGATTTTTCATTTATGAGCTTTTATAACCTTGTTATTCAGGATAGTTGATTTGCTGCTGCACATAAACTGTCAGTCAGAAGCTCTGCTAGCTGGTTATCTTAAGAGGAGCTAGTTCAATTTGTTAGCTTGTTATCAGAATCATAGTTGCAGTTTCATCATCTGAGCTGCTTTTTAAGATCTAGGTAAACTTGTTCAATTTGGGGTTAAAAACAAACGCTTTCACATATTTTCCATGTAGTTTTTTGCCAGTTCCTCTTCTGAAAGGTAGACAATTGTTTTTCTCTTTCCCTCAGAAAATCTTAATTTTCTCCTAGTTTGGTCCAGCACAGTTCACTTCCCAATTACAGCAACAGCCTTATATCATAACCACATAAGTGGGGAAAATGTTCAGTAGCAATGAGAGAATTTGCTGTTGCATTTAAGTGATGTTAACTATTATTTAACATTTAAACTTATTTACTGATTTTTTTTATTTATTCAAAAAACCCTGGTAAGGGATGTTTTTTCTGTATTTGGAGCATCAGAAAAAGTTTTATGATGGAGGTGATGTTTTAAAGTCACTGAGAAACTGCATGCATGCAGTTTGTTGTTTTGCTGCTAATACAGTAGCAGGTGCAGCTGCATATTTTTGCAATAAAAATGTTATGTTGTAATGGAATTCACGCATTAGTTTTTTTTTTGCTCTGAACCCAGAGCAGACGTCATACGCCAGACGACATCAACACTGCATACTTTAGCATTTGTTCATTTATTGTGAGTAATATCGATATCGCAATATTAAGCACTGTTATCGAATATAGCAGGTTTTCCTAATATCGTGCAGCCCTAATACATTTGTAATTGTCTCAAAGTATTGAATGCCTTACAAGTCAATTTGTTTGGGTGGGGGGCTCAGATGCACTTGCTCCAGGAACTAGAAGAAAACTACATCAGAGGAGAGCTTAACACAACAGGATTTCGAGTCGAATGTCCTGATATTTGGACATTTAACCTCGGATTATCTAACAGCAATACAACTGACTCTGCTCTGCGACGTAGATGTTTTATCTCCACATATATAACAAGCCTGGAAGAGTTCTGCAATGTGGTGCAGTTGCTAATGCTAATGGTTAGCTTCCACTAGCTGAGATGTTCTCTGCTGTTTCCTGGATGTGAAACCAACAACAGCCTTCCCCATCGCAAGTCAAGATAGGTGAGTCCATCAATGTTAAGTGATAGTGTGACGTAGATCTGTCAGGCTTTTCAAATCCTGAAGATTTACCTATTTTCTGTCAGAAGCTAATGCAGAAGAATGGTGTAGAAGATTATTTGCATGTTCAACCTGCACAAAAAACTCAGAGTGACCATCAGAAATAATCATTGAAATATGGTTTTACAGTGTTCCACATCTTTAAGGTTGCTCAACCCTCTAAGGAGGGCAAACAGGTCATAGGTTGGGTTGGTGGGGTCTGTCATCATGTTTTTTTTAGCAGTTTTAATGCAGATGGGTATGAAAAATGTCAGTACTCTCCATCACACTAAAAAGGCAACACTGGGAACAGTATAGCATTTAGCCACCTTAAAATATTGAGTGGTTGGTGATTCTTTGTAGGATGCTGGCTGAATCAGTAGACATGTGCAGCCCCAACTATAACTGTTGGCATAACTGTTTTTAGTAACTGCATGACTTCTCCACCAATGATGATGGGGGGATGCTCAATGTCAAACCAACTACAACTCTCAATTATCAAATAAGCAATGCATAAAACATCAAGAAGTGTCATAGCATGTATTGTACCATACCTTCAGCCTCTCTTGGGGACCAGTGTCCAGAAGGTTCACATGGTAGTGGAGATGAAGAGTTGGATGCATACTGCAGAAGAACTCTCCCCTCAGTACATTTATCACACACTGATCCCACTTCTCTAGGAAACCAAAACAGCAGCAACAGCAACCAACTTAGGTAGAAACATACAATTTAAAAGCATAGTACATATCACAACCATGCAACAAATAGATTTTAATGAGTCCTACTTTCAAATAATTTAGTTCTACAAGAAGTCATAAATATGAAATCATTGTTCTTTTATCTAAGCTAATTTTTCCGCTTCATATTTAAAATACTTCATTCATCCCAAATGGGCAATCTGAGACATTAGAGCAGAGTTACACAAGTACAGAATTTAAAAATGCAAGAAAAGGTAGTGTGATTAACGCAATGACTATCAGCAATGTGACTGTCTCCTTATCACCACACAAATCGCCTTTTTACAGTAAGTTGTGTACAATTATGTGTTTCACCTTTCAAAAAATTGTCCGGAAATTGGTGGAAACCATTCAAGCGTGATTGAGTTATGATGCTGCTCGACCACTTGAGGTGCCATCGCCACTGGGGGAGGTTTAGCAGCAGGTTGCCAAGAATGGTATACAAGATCCAGGTAGCAGTGCATCCTGGCATTCTGGTTCATTGTGAATGAATTTGTACAAGAATCATCTGTGGATAAAAGAAGCAGTCTGTGGGTGTGAATTACATGTGTGTTTCATAAGCCTTAAAATGTACTGGATGTATTTTTATGTGACGCCAGAATTAACTTTCAAAACAATTTGATAGAGCAAAAGTAAAGTAAACGCCAGCTGAATAATGCGTAACTGACTAGACTATTTGGTACAAATAAGAACCAAATTAGTTAAAAGTTGATTAAAATGCACCCAAAACAGAATTAGGTTTCAATTGTGTCACATGTACTGTTCACATTAAACAGAATAATCTTTTCTCCATGAAACTAAGCCTAAATATTACTGACAAAAGCATCATGCAATTAAAAGGTCCCCTCTGTTGAATGTCTTGGTATGCATAGATTCCTCCATGATATAACAGCATTCATTTTGCACAGGTAAAAATTGAAACCCACATGGGAGACCCAGCTGACCTGCATAACTCATGAAGTTGGTAAATGGAGTATTTACGAAGTGCTGAGGGCCACAGGTTTCATTGACTGGATCGGGATCACCACAGCCCTTGTACTTTGGTGTGGGGTTGGTGTCAGCACACAGATCTCCCGTCTCCAACGAGGGCTCAGTTTCCAAACACGCATCATTACATGAATCGACCTCTGATATGCCTCGAAACACATGGTACAATCCGAGGCTATGTCCAATCTCGTGGACCATTGTGTCAGTGTGACCAAACGTTCCATAGACAGAAGGATTCAGCACAATTCCTCCTGAAATGCATAGAAAAGCAAATGCATATTTAAGATAACACGTCTCAGTTTGCACCAAACACTTCCTATTACCAAGACCCATTCACACAGGATTAAAGGCACCATGGGCTACATGACTCCAGGGCTGCAAACTTTTTCTACGTCGTCCATGAGCGCCCGATGACCTGGCTTTGTTACTAGTGTGGACATTTTTACTTTCTGGCTTTTTTTAGTTTCGGTTGATTCATGTTAGCGATAGCTCTTTGTTAGCGCTAGCTACAGCAGGCTGCAGCAGGGTTGTTTACAACAGTTTCGATTTCAACCAGTAGGATGGATAAGCAGAAAACTGTTTAATGTTACTTTAATGTGCCCCTGAAAACTTTTCTAAAGCTCTGCTAATAAAATCCACATTAGCTCCCACTACTAACACTGTCACAGTCTTCATCCTGTGTCAAGGGGTCTCGATGTAAGACTGTTGCTAAACTGCGATAAGATTCAGACAATGCATTTTTATATGCCTCCTCAGCTATCATCTTCTTCTCTGTCAGAGCTATGATGAAGACAAATACTGCTTAAGCTTTGATCTGCATCAGTCAAAATCAACACTCCAAGGCCATGTGTATTTACACTAAGTAAGTGCATGTGAGCGAGTGTGCCTGCATGCATAAATGTGTGTCAGTGTTTTTGTTTGTTTTCTACCCAAATGTGTAAGGGCTTCTTTGTCCCAGGGCCAAGTGGAAACCCCAGCCACATTTTCATCAGAAGAATTGGCAAAGAAGATATTCAGGTGAGTTGAACCATCCAAATGTAGAATGTCTTTCAGCTCTTTCAGATCCAAATAAGCTCTGGAAAAAAAATGAAAATGAGAAAAAGAGTTTTTGACATTAAGTTCATGATTAAAACTGTATTCTACCAGGGAATGTAAATTTCATCGAGGTAATGTGTTAAGGATTTAGCGGGAAAAGGAACATAGACAGTGTTACCGTTCAGAAAGACTTAATGTTGAAACAAATCCAGGACAAATTCATGTATGTTTTTAAACAAGACTGGTGATTGTACCGGTTCTATATAAAAAAAAAAGAATAGGTCCCAGAAAGTATGGAAATGATGTTTTAACAAATCTGTACTGAACAAAAAAATGGATTATAACAAAATATGAGCGCTCATTTGCTGTGATCAAAATTAAAGTAGGCTTGCAAAAATGTATGCAAAAAGGTTTTTAAAAAGTGTAACAGTATGGACATAAAATAAAAACTTTTGAATTAACCAGATGCTAAAATCAACAATTACTTTTATTTGCTTTGTTGCACTTATGTCAACAATATCTTGAGCTGTGAAGAAAACTGTATATCGGTTATGGCGGCAGAGGAGTCTGCTGCAGTTGTTGTGTCCTTGGGCAAGACACTTATTCTACCTTGCCTGCTGGTGGTGATCGGAGGGACTGGTGGCCCCGGTGTACAGCAGCCTTGCTTCTGTCAGTGTGCCCCAGGATAGCTGTGGCTGCAATGTAGCTCATCACCACCAGTGAGTGAATGTGTGTGTGTGTGTGTGTGTGTGTGTGTGTGTGTGTGTGTGTGTGTGTGTGTGTGTGTGTGTGTGTGTGTGTGTGTGTGTGTGTGTGTGTGTGTGTGTGTGTGTGTGTGTGTGCATGTGTGTGTGTGTGTGTGTGTGTGTGTGTGTGAGTGAGTGAGTGAATTACTGATTGTGCTCTAAAGTGCCTTGGACAGTAGTAGAACTCTATATTAAATACAGGTCATATTTCATTTAGCTTCAGTGAGGACTTGTTTTTTGTAAAGAGATGAATAAAGCTTCTTGTTGACTTTGCTGAATTCACTTAAGTGAAGTTTCAACAAAAGAATAAAGTTCAAACAAAAAAATCACATAATCAAAATATGTTATTGAGAGTGAGTTGTTGTTGAACCCAATTGTGAATGTTTATGGGCCAAATACTAGGCCTTGTGGGACACCTTCATAGAAAAGGCTGTTATTAGGTCATCATGTGTGTGTTATTGAAAATAAATTCTTCAGATATGGTGACCCCTATAAATTAAGAATACAGTTAAACATCAGACCTGAAAGAGGGATGTGTTTGATTATATGATTGAAGACTTTGGTAAGCAAATTGGATGCTCTTTAGGTGAGCTTCTTCAATAAATGCTAGTTACAACTAAACTAGGCTTTTTTATGGTTTCTGAAGCACTTATTTTAGTTTGTTACGTTCGTTTGTTGACTATTTGGTTTCTCAGTTGGACAAAAAAAAACTGTTCTTATGTCAAATACACTAACAGACTGGAGAGATTCTGCTATCCTTTTGTGTTTTCCTATTTATTTTTAGTGCCAGTGAATATGTTTTAAGTATTTGTCAAAGCTTGAGTTTGCATAATTTCTTACTGATGTGTAGTACATCTTACAAGCTCTCATTTCCATTCTGCGACATTTACAAAAACAATAATGATAATAATCTAAAAATAGCTTGACTGTAAGACAGAGGGTGGGGGTCTCTCTACCAAAACATTTACTTTACAATATTCTCAAGTCCAACACAATTTTGATTCCTAAAATAAAACTAATTTAACTTCATGTTTGTGAAAAAAATCTGCTTTGTAGCCTGATAAAAAAGTATTTGGTATGTTTAATGTATTATTTTGTCAAAGGTCATACCCAGGATCATAAATCTTATGAAATTAAATCAGATTTGTTGCCCATTCAATAGGAATTTCCATGATGATCCTAAATATACTAAAAGGCATAGCACTGTATAATTCTTCTTATGATGCTTAGATTTAGATTGATATTGTGAAGCCATCTGAATTCAGCCTGACTGTTAAATATCAGCCTGAGAAATTCCATTACTGGCTCAAGTTGTCTGATGTGTTGCTCTTTATGACCTAATATTTGTCTGAGGCCCTAAGAATGGTGAGGGCAACACTAATGATTGCTGTCACTTCACATAATTACATATCTGTGCAGCAGTGAAGCTGTCACACACTTTGTGAGAATGTTTTCTCTATGAGCCTGCCTGGCATCCTGGCAAACATAATCAACAAGATGTGGAAAAACTAGTAATCTGTTGCACATACGGAGATGATGGTGTAGTCCTTTACTTGGGTTATTAAAGGTTCTGGGAAAGTATTTCACAGCAAATACATGAAAATAATTTTACCAGTAACTAAACATAAAAAACTGGCTACACAGTCACAAACTTCTTGTTTGACTATATTGACCTAGATTGTGTGACCCACTTACCTGCATTTAAGTTTGTACTCGGTGTGGCTCTTCATTATGAATATATAAAACTATGTTCCTTTTTAACTAAATTAAAAAGCCTCTTGGTACTTTCAATCATTGTGATTTTCACGATGGAATCTCACACTGGAAAAAATAAACCAAATTATGTTCGTAGATATTTAAATACTGTACCCAATTTTATGATCTACTCGTATTAAAAGCAACACTAAAGAGGTTTTAACACTAAGCTATTGCTTTCAAAATGGTTTCAGGGATTCTTGAGCCATAAACTTTAGCAACTTGACATTGGACAGCACTCTGTAGCCCTCTGCTGACCAGAAACTGCCCTTAACAATGTTGTGGTTTGGGTAGGAACACTAGTGGGGTGCTAGCTCTTAAGTATACTTTTTACAAATCCTTTGTTCTCTTTTTGGGATTTTTTTTTTTTGTTGTTGATTATTATTTATTTACACATGAGAAAAATAATAAAAATAACTCTACTCTTACATGAGTGCAGTCTTTAGCTACTCTACCCACCCCTGTTTTTATTTATTTATTTAGTTATTTATTTAGTTATTTATTTAGCAGACGCTTTTATCCAAAGCGATTTACAATTTATAACCTACAGGGCATGTTGTGATCTGTGGGGGAAACTGGAGTACCCGCAGGAAACCCACTCATGCATGAGGAGAACACGCAACTCCACGCAGAAAGGCCGCAGCCGAGTTTAGAACCTGCGACCTTCGTGCTGTGAGGCAGCAGTGCTAACCACTGCGCCACCAAGCAGCCCATGGGTTTGATGCTTCATTTGAAGCAGCAGCTTGACCATGACACAATTAGACTAATTTTTCTTTATAAGCCAACTTGGACTCTTTGTAGGAGATTGTGATTGTAATTGTTGTTGAAGAAGCATCCATCCGTCCATTTTCTGTACCTGCTTTTCCATGCAGGGTCGCAGGGAGCTGGTGCCTATTTCCAGCTGTCTTTGGGCAAACAGGTGGAGTACACCCTGGACAGTCGTGTTTTTGGACTGTGGGAAGAAGCCGGAGTGCCCAGAGAGAACCCATGCATCCACAGGGAGAACATGCAAACTCCTTACAGAAAGGCACCAGGCTGGGAAGGGAACCCAGGACCTTCTACCTGCAAAGCAACAGCACTAACTACTGCATGTCTGTGCAGCTCTTGTTAGACGAACCCCAGTTGGAAAATGTCTCATGTATTCACACAGTTTCTGTCATTTAACAAACTTAGAACAACTTACCACACACACACACACACACATATATATATATATATATATATATATATATATATATATATATATATATATATAAACACACATATAGCCTGCTTTATGGCAAGCCAAATGAGCATTTATTCTGATATCAGGATATCAGACAGAATTGTCATGAACATGTAAGCCATTTCTGTCCACTAGTTAACTAGTTAGCCATGTTTGTGTCATCTAGTTAAATAGTGACTGCCTAAATGTCAACTAGTTAACTAGTAAGGCCTAAATTCTCTCTAGTTAACTAGTTAAAATGTTTCATATCTTACTAGTTAACTAGTATTGCTCAGTGTGTTCACTAGTTAACTAGTGGATAAATCAATGTCCACTAGTTAACTAGTTAAAACACATTTAGTTTTTACTAGTCAACTAGTAAGGTACAAAAACTCGTACTAGCTGACTACTGAATGTAAAAATCCCACTTGTTAACTTTGCCCAATTTGGCCAGCCGCTTGAGCATTAATTCTGATATCTTGTCAACAGGTCAACTAGTTAACTAGTGAGGGTGAAACTGTACACACTAGTTAACTAGTGAACACATTTTGACCTTCACTAGTTAACTAGTTGACACAAAAATGGCTCATTAGTTAACTAGTAAAGGCCAAAATGCATACCAGTCAGCTAGTTTAATGTATTTGTGTCTCACTAGTTAACTAGTCAGGGTCAAAATGAGCCCACCAGTTAACTAGTGGGAGACGAAAATGTTCACTAGTTAACTAGTGAACACATTTTGGCTTCACTAGTTAACTAGGTGACACAAAAATGGCTCACTAGTTAACTAGTAAAGGCCAAAATGCATACCAGTCAGCTAGTTGAAGGTTTTTGTGTCTCACTAGTTAACTAGTGATGGCCAAAATGTGCACACCAGTTAACTAGTGACAGCAGAAATGCCCACTAGTTGACAAGTGAACACATTTTGGCTTCCTAGTTAACTAGGTGACACAAAAATGGCTCACTAGTTAACTAGTAGGGGCTAAAATGCATACCAGTCAGCTAGTTGAAGGTTTTTGTGTCTCACTAGTTAACTAGTGACAGTTCAAAGTGTCCACATGTTCACTAGTGAAGGCAAAACTCCTAACTAGTTAACTAGTTGGAGTAGGTCAGTGCCACTAGTTAACTAGTGAACCATTAATGGCTCACTAGCTAGCTAGTTGATTGTAGCAGGCTCACTAGTTACCTAGTTGATGCATCCATTGTCCAAACTAGTTAACTAGTGAGGACATAAATGTATACTAGTAAAGTAGTTCAAGCCTACATTCACACTAGCTAGCTAGTTGCACAGAATTCTAATTAGGAGGTGGAGAATTTCTCAAATTGAGGCTTTCTATT